TGGAAGGCTGAGTCAACCTTGAGCCGGTGAGATTTGAACCGCCGAACTGCAGATAGCAGTCAGCTGAAGTGGCCTGCATTACTGCACTCTAACCATTGCGCCACTTCGGCTCTTGTAATTATATATTACATCTTACTATCAGTTCAATGAACCGTAAGTTTAAAATTTCCAAGCTAAGTGTTACATATTACCATAGCTATTGCTTCATTACTATCTCTAAAAATATTGCAATCATTTGGATTGTTTTAGCCAAGTTAGGTTAACTGCTTTTAATCTGTTGCTCTCTAGCATTATAATGATCATGGTGGTGGGAATACTGGAAATTATTGCCTAATGCATTGGGAAGACACCGTACTGGGGGAACCCAGAGAAATAAGTTTTTGAGGGTTTTAATTACTGAACTAAGTGTACCAATGCCTTCTCACAAAGCAGCTGTACGTCACCAGATACATTCTGCAAGCCCAAATAATGTATTCGTAGCCTTCAAACTGGCACTTGTACCTTGTCTCCGGAAAACCCAGCAAATTCCAGAAGTCTCAAAATCCGGGGTGGAAAGAGGGAGAGAGTCTGTGTGGAAAACACATAACACAAAAGATAACAGAGACACCTGTAAGGAGGAGGTCCTCTTCCCAAATCTTCAATGTGTACTTCCAAGTGGAAGAGCTTTTTTCAATATGATCAAGTTTGTATGCCAAGTTTAATAGAATTTGTATGCCACCCACTCCCTTAGGGACTCTGGGCGGCTCACAACAGACAAGAAACATTTAAAATGTAAAAAATAGAAATAAAAAATAAAAAATACAGTTATTAAAATTCACATCCACCCATTCCATCTAAGCGGGGCTGGATATCAATCAACAGCCCCAGGCCTGCCGGAACAGCCAAGTCTTGGTTGCTTTACGGAAGGCCAGGAGAGTGGTGAGGGTCCGGATCTCTGCAGGTAGATCGTTCCACAGGGACGCTGAACCATTGTTGACATTGCCCACTACGAAGCCCTCCACATCCTCTTCCCCACAGTTTTCTTCCATTGGCGTCCTTTTTTTCCAGGAAAGGATTCTGGCTTGCTTCTCTCTTGTTGAGCACAATTTTCTTTTCATATAAATCAGTGGTTCCCAAACTTGGCAACTTTAAGACTTGTGGACTTCAACTCCCAGA